CTATGTGGATTTCATTGGAGGCTGCACAATTGGACAGCTGTGGGAGGCAGATTCAAGCTGCTGGAAAGGAATAACGCGAAAGATTTGCAAATCACACAAAAGGTATATTTCTCATCACAGTTTTTATCTAAATACAAATTTGAATCCTGAATGGGAATTAAAATTTGTTAAATTCCGCTGTGCATGTTTAAATCAATTCCCAACACTCAGCATATCTTGCCTTCTCTTCGATGCACACATAATGTGTTGCCTGAAACCTAACCATGGTTTAAATAGAGCTTAATCATTATTTTCTTAATCACCGGTTATAATCAGCCAAAAAGCTTCACCAGACTCACGTTTTCCACAAATGAACAAAAACCCTAGTTCTGAAACCAATATTAACAGGATAAACTTACATGGGTGTGAATCATGTACATGCTTCTGGATTGATTAGACGAAACTTGGGCTGAAACCACTTGCAATCTGTACTTGTCCAAAACATAGCAAATGGCAGTGAACAGCCCTGGTTGTTTGGCAGCACAAATGCTGATATGGGCATCTCCACCAAATGTGTTTAGGACAACATTTGGAGAAGTATATGTCTGAAAATTGGGTTTAGTTGGAAATTTGGGAACCAGAGGAATAGCGTTAGCAGTCGAGATACTTGCACCTTGTTCGGCTAAAAAAGCCTCCCTTGATTCCATTGATAGTTTCGGGGCGAAAATGTATGGGTCGAAGCCGGTGGAAGTCAACCCATGGATCCTGTCAAGTTTCTTTTTCTGCAGTTTCTCAAGTGTTTCCTCAAGTGATCTAATGTAGGTCGCTGCTTCATCAACAATGGTGGACTTGTCAGCCTGCATATATCAATTTCAAGGGATAAAATGTAATTAATTAATCACAACTGTATTCTTAATATATAAGTGTAATTAAAGATGGAATATTTATGGGGAATGGACTAAAAGTTAACCAAAATAAGTGTTTTTTGTAATTAAATCAGAATAATGAATACAAAATTTTACAAGTTCGATCATGTTGCAATTAAAAATTAAAACTTAAAATGTTATCTTAAGTGTAATTGTGAAACATAAAGAGTACTTTAAAGAGGAAAAATCATAAAATCTTTACCCATATGCAGTTGTATATATGACTGCATCCTTCAAATTTATAAAAGAAAAGCTCAAAATCTTAAAAGAAGAAATCTGAAGTTTGTATTCTTGATTTTAACAAAGAACCAGGTTTGATCTGAAAATGACTTGAATCATAAGATTTTCTTTTGAAAATTTTACAAGTTCGATCGTGTTGCAATTAAATATTAAAACTTAAAATGTTATCTTAAGTGTAATTGTGAAACATAAAGAGTACTTTAAAGAGGAAAAATCATAAAATCTTTACCCATATGCAGTTGTAAATATGACTGCATCCTTCAAATTTATAAAAGAAAAGCTCAAAATCTTAAAAGAAGAAATCTGAAGTTTGTATTCTTGATTTTAACAAAGAACCAGGTTTGATCTGAAAATGACTTGAATCATAAGATTTTCTTTTGAAACCTACTGTACATAGAGACAAGCCAAGAAAAGAAACATGGTCAGTTAAAGAAGGAATATTAAAACTGAAAAGTGTCCTCTTGTTAAGTTTTCAGGGCCAGAAAAGCTACTTTTTCAGAGAAGGAAAAGATAAATTTTCTGCAAATTCTCTGTACAGACACCCAGATAAATGTATGTGTGTATATATGGAATACCCTAGCTTCAACAAGGACGCCACATATACATACATGGAAAATTTAATGAACTTACCTTAGGAGGAAGTTGAGGTAGCAAAGAATGAAGACAGTCAAACATGTCCCTCATCTTCTTCCTCCTCTCTCTCTCCGACAAAATATGCATTTCATAATCAGATTCGCCGCCAACTTCCACTGTCTTACCATTATCAGCACCGCCTACAGCCTTCCTCTTCCTCCCGGCGGCGGCTGGCGGCTTTGGCGGTGGTGGTGGCATTGGAGTTGGCACTTGAACATCATTCGCCACCTCGTCCTCCGGGCTATTTGTATTGATGAAATCCATCATCCTCCTATCCAAATGTTTTTCAGGAATTCCTTCCGTGTTAACTGGAATTGGAAAATCCCATAAATCATCATCCCATAAGAATCTCTCATTTCCATTTCCTCCTTCGGACATGGCTAGGTTGATAAAAAAGGAAGTAATTAAATTAGAAACTTATTTACTACTGAATTTTTGTGAGTAGGCGCCTGATATAGTATAAATAGAGGAAGAGGGAGGGTGAGGTGCCGTAGGGGTAGGGGTGGGTTTGAGTGGGGGTGGGCGTGGGGTACTACACAGGAAGAAGGAAGAAATATGGGGGTTACAAAGGGTGGTGAACTTTGTACTTGTCCAAGCCGCTTACAGATGTACCCACGCCAGATGAACACTATTTACCTGTTTAATGAAGGAAACAAATTTACATGTTTGGACTCAAGTGGACGTGGATTATAAGTTCTCTTAGTACCTACCATTTTCAAGTATTATAAATAATTAAAACAAATATCGAGATAATTGAGTTATTACACATGTTGATGATTACCGTTGTTTTAAATGTAGTCGACATTTTCGTTGCCTTTTTGTCAGAATTTGACGATGCATTTATCTGTAATAGTGTGTTCTTATCCCGTGATTGTTCTAACGATCTCATCATTGAGGAGCTAAACACGAGCATTATGTTAAAATGTAATAATTCGTTGCAATACAATGATTATCACTTTACTTCATATAAAATGTGATTAGTTTTATTGTTCTACGTGAGCAGTGCATATTTCTCCCTAAATGTGGATTACTTTACAGATTAATTATTATGAGATATATGTCACCCTTCTTCAACACGTGTAACTCTACCTGTTATATAAGTGAAAATTCAAAGTAAAAAAATAATGTTATGTACCGTTTAGAAAAGTAGCAAGTAGGAATATAACATTTTTCTTTTTTTTTTTGTTTTATTTAAATCTCTAAACTTGTACTTCGCAGCACTTCATATTGAATCATTATAGAAATTGTCTTTTTGACCTTTTCTTTTTAACTCATTTTTAATCACAAATACTCTCAATAAAATATTTGTACATGTAGATTAAAATTTTTTTCTATTTTTTAATTATTCATTTTCAAAAAAATCAATATTCGAAAAATTATTTTTCTGGAATAATGGTGGATAAATCCTGACTAAATTCCCGGGGGGTATTGTTGTCTTTGGCGTGACGTATTCTGAATATCTGATGGAAATTGTCTGATCTGGAAACTTTTTTGATTAATTTAAGCTCTTTATGAGTATTGCTTGCGTTTCAGTAATGATGATAAAATGTCCATTTGTGGGTTTTGGCTCTTCTCCAACAAAAACTGAGCATGGCCCACAACAACCCTATAGTATGCTCATTACGATTTTCATAGCTTACATGCAAGAAAAATGGGCCCCACCTAATATGTTTGACAATTTACTTTTTCTTCCTCCATTATTATTTTTTTTAAAATTTTTTATTTTTATTTTTTGGGAAACTAGGGGAAGATAAGTTTATCATTTAAATTTTGAATATATTTTTTTCTTTTTTTATTTCAATTCGGAGGAACCTTGAGTAAGTTAAATCACGGATCAATTAGAAAATTTAATTGTTTTCTGTGTAATTGACATTATATTCATCTTGGTAATTGAGAGGTTCATTGATTTCCCGATCGATCCACCTACTATAGGCTAGGTATAATAGCCATGCTCGGTATAATTGATTTTGAACGTGAACTTGATCTAACTATAATTAAAAAACATAAATATACCAATTTGACACGATCTGCCTTTACCACGGAATTTATTTTGTTTCATTTAGAAACCCTCAACCCACACATAATGTTCGTACTTGTTTATTTTATTTATTTATATTTTTGGTGAAACACATAACAAATAAAATATATAAGGAAAAAATTCACAGCTCAAGTATTAACTATGAGTCAATTCAATTTTCAGATTTAAAGTTTCAAAATTCAAATTTCAAGTGATATATAAATAATTAAAAATATCTTATTAATTAAATATATCAAGGTCATAATTATATAATATAATTAATGGTCACATATACGTACTTTTAAGTCTGAGCTTATTTATCGATTACATTCTATCAAATTAATTAATTGATCACATGTTATTTCACCATTACAAATCAAAAAATTTATAAGTTAAAGTTTATTCATTGATCACAGATTTTCAAATTAGTTATTCACAAAATATTTTTTAGTCACAAATTATATAATTTTTAGGTCACAATTAAATGATTTGTCACAGAAAGCGAAATATTTAGTCACCAATTAATCAAGTAATTGGTTACATACACTAAACACCCCATTCCCACCTTTGATTCTGATCCATCGTCACGGCTCATGCATCACGGATCACGGCGCACCACCACTGCACACTACCAACCAAACATCAGACGCAACACCACACATCACCTCTGCACCCAATTACCACACACAGTACCACGTCCAACCACAATCACACCCAACCACTGCTCATAGAACCATCGAACCCAACCACCACCACACAGCACATCTCACCCCAACCACCGCATCGTATCGCACACACCCACCACCACCACACCCACGAAAAACATCACCCACCATCACCACTGCTGCACTATAGAACCACTATTGAATTATCTATCATTGCACCACTCAAAGAAGAATAATAATAATAATAATAATAATGGATCCGCATCATGCATAGAAGTGATGAACTGTCGTGCACAAAGGAAAGTCGTCGCCACTGTACCACGGTGAGTCATTAGAGTGAGTGTCATGAGAGAGAAAAGAACAGGGTAGAGAAAGAAATCTTAAACCAAGACTAAAAAAAAGGTTAAACCCTAACCTTAAGGGTCCCCCACCACCCCTGTCCTAGAGTATCGTGAGGGAGGTAAATCGCAGGTTATGCCTCCAAGGGTATAGGGTGGAATGCTACTTGTACATTTGCACTTACCCAAGAGTCAAATCCATATTTCAGGATTCAAACCCTTGACGCAGCAGCCTCGAGCAAAGTTAGATTTCTCCACCCTCCCCTTTTACCACTTGGAGATGTGCCCTAGGGGCAATCTTAAGCCAAGACTAAATTATAGAGAGAGAGGATATAGGATATTATTAATAATTCAATCAATACCTAATTTTTTATAAAATAAAGCTCACACCGGATTTTTAAATTGGAAAACAAAACACCTGTTTACGTGTAATCTTCTCAATTTAGAAACTAGGGAAGCCTCTAGCACGTAGCCCACTTTTTTTCAATGTGAAATAGAGAGTACAGTTTAAAAATAATAATAATAATAAATAAATCGGGAAAGAGATTGGTGTGTGCAACCTACTTAATAAATATGAACCTTTCTGACTTTCATAACCCCATTTGAACATAGCCCTGTTGATATATCTATAATCTATAATATATTAAAGTATCACATCAAGGTATAATTATTTTTTAGACGATTTTATCCCTTGTACAATTCAATTATTTCAATAATATCTTACTATTCATTTTTCGATATGTAATAAATACTATAAAACTAACATTCACATTATCTAGATTATGAATTTTAACTTGATGAATCTTGAATTATATGAATTTGGAGTTATTATTGATGAATTTATTCATATTCATGTATCTAAAAATTTTAATAAGTGTTTAAATTTATGTATTAACAATTAATTTCTATGTATCAAATATAATATAAAAAGATTGCTCATTTATAGTATTTCATTATTACAAAAAATTTGAATAATAGAAAATTGAGTTTTGAGAGTATAATTTTATTCTCTTAAATTTCTATCATGAATTTTATTTTCTTTAATTCATTTGAGACATATAAAATTATCCAGCAAATTGGTATTAAATATTACATTTACATTACCTATAAAGAATTTTAGAATAACGTGCAATGCACGTTCAACTATGACCAGTACTAATTAAACATAGGCCCAGGACTCTATCAATATTAACGATGTTAAGTAGGATGAGCCATTTCGATGGATCACCACTAGCGAACAAAGCAATTGTGGTGATCGAAGAGAGAGAAAGTCGTGGTTGGAGAGAGAGAGAGAGAGATTTCAAGAGCATATCTATTGTATAATCCTTGAAAATGGGATTTTTTATTTCGCTCAGCTACAGTGTTGAAGTGCTCAAGGGATTCGTGCTTAAATGTCAAGATCAGGTTGTGACAATAAAACAAGTGATAACTACAGAAAACCCTAGAGTTAAAATCTAGGGTTCAAAAATAAGATGAGTAGTTTAACATTTCAAAATTCAAAATTTTTATATTTAAATATTAAATGTTAATTATATTAATTTCATTCTCTCACTCGTCTTCTCTCTCCAATCAATTTCCCTCACCAATTTCTTCTCTCACCCGTCTTCTCTTCCTCCATCCGTCCTCTCCAATTAATTACATTTTCTTTCCAATCTATCCTCTCACCCCTTCTTCTCTCTCTCTCTCTCTCTCTCCCCCTCTTGCAGCTTAAGAAAGCGATTCCAGCTCCGGCGATCGCTGCTAATTTGGGCGGCAAGGCTTATATTTTCATTTATCTTCATCGCGGTGGCGACGACGATGTCGAGTTTGGGGATTTATTTTTGTGGTGTTGTGCTATGGTGGTGTGGCAACGACGATGGTGCTAATCGTGATGGTGATGAGATTGTGGTGGCCTTTGACAGCGCAGCTCAAAGTTGCGTTGCTTTCGCCAGAAAACACCGTTGGAAAGAAAAGACGTCCCCGACATCCATCGAGTTGCGGTACTGTGATGCCGCTGCACGCGCAGTGCTGTGGTGGTCAGGATGTTGGCGATGGTGATGGCTGTGATGTGAGTTGCTTGTGATGTTTGTCGAGTTCTAGGTTTCAATCTAACATTGGGTTGGAGTACATCGGGCAGGAGGCGGGGGTGGTGTAATGTTGGTAGTGGGTCGTGGTGTGATCATGGTGATGGTCGGGGCGGTAGTGGTTGTCACAAGTGTTGGTGGCGGTATGCGGTGGTCGATGGTGACGATAGTGGTTTGTGTTTTGGATGGCATGGGTGACGCGATTAGTGATTTTTTTCATTGTTTTGATGCTTGGTTTTTGTTAATGTAGCGGTGGTTTGCGTTGCAATAATGAGGAGTGGTCGATGGTGTTGGGCTTGCTGTGGTGGTTTGCCCCTTGATGGTGTTGTTGTCGGTGGTGGTGGTGGTATTGACGGTAATGATGGTGGTGATACTGTTGGAGGCAATGGTTGTCATAACGGTTGGGGTGGTCACAGATTATTTGGTTAATTGTGACCATTGAATTGATTAATCTGTGACCAATGAATAATATGTGACTGATGATGATAAATTGTGACCAATGTGATCTAAATAAATATTAATTTATGACCGTCTAATAAGTTGTGACCTTGTGATCTATGATCGACACAAAAATTGTGATGTGTTAATTTTTGATTTGTGATCGATAAACAAACTGTAACCTATAAAATTTTGAATTGTGAACGTAAAATAATTTTTAATATTTAAAAATTAAGATTTGTGATCGAAAAATAATGTGACTAACTAAATTTATGAATCCGTGATCAAATTGTATAGATATGTGACCTTAATATATTTAATTAATAAAATATACAATTAATTAATTATGTGGTTTAGGGATTTAAATATGTATTCAGTATTTTAGAGAGTTGAATCTGGATGCTGATTTTAGGGACTAATCGTAACGGAATCATCTCTCTCTCCATATAGGATAACCCTCTCAGTTTTCAAATTACAAAGTTATTAAATTAAAACTGAAATATATCAAAGTTAATGTCTGGGTTATGAAATTTTCGCATGAAACAATCTCTTTGGGCCTAATTTTCCACAAAATGATTCAGAATCTCAAAGTAGCCCCAGTTAGTTTATTGTAAACGGGCCAATAATTTATTTTTAGGTTTTTTCAGCCCATTTTAACCCAAAAACCCTAGCCTCACTGAAGTATATATTCATCGCATGTAGCTCCAATCTAATCTTGTTAGAGTTGCGCTAGTTTAGGGTTTTCCTCTGCCAGAAGCCTCACTCAGTCATGGCGGCGAAAACAGAGTCTGTACAATGCTTTGGCCGGAAGAAAACTGCCGTCGCGGTTACCCACTGCAAGCGTGGCCGTGGATTGATCAAGATCAACGGTGTCCCGATCGAGTTGGTCCAACCTGAAATCTTGCGCTACAAAGCATTTGAACCCATTCTTCTCCTCCGTCGTCACCGCTTTGCCGGAGTGGATATGCGTATCCGTGTCAAGGGCGGTGGTCACACCTCCCAAATATACGCTATCCGTCAGTCCATTGCCAAAGCACTAGTCGCTTTCTACCAGAAGTACGTAGATGAGCAGTCCAAGAAGGAGATCAAGGACATCCTTGTGAGGTACGATAGGACCCTGCTTGTGGCAGATCCCAGACGCTGCGAGCCCAAGAAGTTTGGTGGTCGTGGTGCTCGTGCTAGGTTCCAGAAATCCTACCGTTGAATTACTGGTAGCCATGTTGCTTTTATTATAATTGTTATTTCTAACATGGTTATTCATCGTTGTAGTTTGTTATGGGATTGGGATTAAGTTAAAATTTTGCTTAAGGAACTGTCTGTTATGTTTTGGATTATTTGTTATCCGTTTCAATATTGCATTAGACTATTTTCTTAGGTCCTTGAGACCCTTTCAATCAATACGTGTCAATTTCTAGTTGCAATGTTACCCTTTTGATAAATATTGTGGTGATTGTTATGTATGGAGCGCAAACTAAAGATGTGATACAATTAAATATGGCTGATTACATATATTCAACATAGAGTCTTTGACCCTATGGTGGTTCAATTTTGTTTTAGTATTCATACTTGTATCTATCATGTATTTGTATTAACTAATGTACTTATGTACACATAGCACTCTACCATCAGTCAACTTTTTCATTCAATATTTCCCGTCACCTCATATTTGGTAACAGCTCATGTATCATTTTTATGTATGTGGTTCAATTTTGTTTTAGTATTCATTCTTATATCTATCATGTATTTGTATTAACTAATGTACTTATGTACACATAGCACACTACCAACAGTCAACTTTTTCATTCAATATTTCCCGTCACCTCATATTTGGTAACAGCTCATGTATCATTTTTATGTACGAGTTACAAAATTCTTATTTGTAGAAACAATGCTACATGTACAGGGGATATGCACAGATGGGTTTACAGAATTTCATTGGATTTTGGACTCAAAAAAAGGTTAAAACAGCCCATCAGGTGCTGTCATCTTTGCACCCCCTGTACAATTATCATTTCTGTTATTTTTATCGCTAATTCTTCCTGAAATTTAGACAGTCACTAGATGAACATCTATTAGGAGGGACGATTATAGCTAGATAATCGTAACCCATAATTGTGCAGAAAGCAGCATGACCTCTAGATCGAAACAAACTCATTATATAGCAGTTGGATAGTCTGTTTGACTGTATCTTGTGTTTAAAGTTCCTTTATTGTCTTTGAGTCCTTCTAGCTTAAAATTGTCATAATTTTGTTAATATGCTTTCGAACAATGTGAATGCAGAATATTTGTTGGAGGTGTTCACCTTTCTTTTGTTGGAATTGTTCGTGAAAATTTAAAGTTAAGAAATTAGATATCCTTGGGTTGGTTCAGGTTTGATAATAGTTATATCCCCAAGCTGATCATCTTTCATTTATGTGCACAGAATCTCGTTTTTTCATTTGCATTTGGTTTGTATAATCGTTTCATTGGGAAGTGTAGGATCAGCTAATAAAAATTCAGTCTCATTGAGAAGAGGATTTTGTAGTTGAAAAACTTCAGAGCCCAATTGCTGGTTCAACTCGCCATCTGATGATTTTGAAATTGATATCCCGCAATCGGGATGTTTTATTTTGATAGTGTCAGTCGAAAAGGGTCTTGATCCATCAAAGTTTATTTTTTATTTCTTAGTTAATGCATTGATTAACTTTTGATAGGAAGTTTAATTTGCACTTCGTCGTAAATGCAGATCCATTAAATTTAAATCTTTAAGATAAAAGCTAAGTTGGTTTCTTCTCAACATCTTGAATCTTTTGTTGAAGAATTGGACACTACCATTAATAATTGAATTGCAATCAATGCATGTTGCTTCATTTGATATGTTCCTCTGGTTCAAATTTTGATTTGCATCATTTTCCTCGTGGATGAATTTAGGTTTCCACAGTAAATAGAATCCGCACAGGCTAACCTAATCTGACCATGTAGAAAAGAAAGAGATAATGTAATGTTATTTTAACACTGCAATTTCATTGTTATTCAATATTTAAAACGTTATTAATGTGCATCATGCTTGACAAATTCTGTACTTCATGATGGAAATATGTTTACAGTTCTTCAGCATTTCACCTTTTCTTTTGTATATGAATCTCTCTGATAGTAAGAAACCAGTAGCTGTTATGCCTAACGAAGGCTCGATTGTACTGATTGAACATGTAGCGTCATTTTATATGTACAAAATTGGTTGACAAAGTAATATCTACACCAATCATTTCAAAAATAAATTTTTAAATCATTGAAAATTAATAGCTTAGATTTTGTCAGTACTTTTGTCAACCAAATTTGTGAACACACTTTATACAAATAGCATAATTAGAACACGTGAAAGGATTTCGTCTCATCTGTACGTGTATGGAGAAAAATAATTGGCTTATCTTTAGGCCATTGTGATTGAGTAGAGATTATCATCTGCCTCACAGAAAATTTCCAGTATTCATAGCGTACGGAAGTAATGTGACTATTTAATTGACATGTGATGTCTCGATTATTTAGTATACATGTTGATCAAACGTTAACAGGGAGTGAATTTTTTCTTTTGGGGAGATGGGAAATTTTAATTAAAAAAAATGAATTATATATATATACACGTGTGTGTGTAAGAACCCTAGATTATGTTAATATGGTCGGATATTGATTTGTAACATGTAGTAAGATGTAACAAGTTTTAACTCTTGTTTGAGCTCAATTATTTAAAAATAAAAAATAAAAAATTAAAACTTATTTTTAACTAAACATTTTTTGAATAGAATAATTATGCACATAAATCAATATGTATATATACGCACTTTTTAATCATGCATTTTTCAAAAATTATTAGAAAATTTATTTTTCATGGAAAACGGGGTTCAAAAAGAGCCTTAATATAAAAAAGGGTATGTAAATTAAAATTGCATTTGGATAGCTTTAAATTCATAAATTTAGAATTGAGTACCAATGTCTAAAAGCGTTTTGAAACATTGAACTAGATAACAAGTTGTAACACATTTGACAATCTTGTGTAGCATTATGAATGGTAGACAGCAAAGTTCGAAATAATTGTTCATCATGTAACAATGTCTAAAACCTGTTATCTATGCAAACAATCGTGACAATAAAATGTCCTGGAAATTAGGGGGGAAAAAAAGAAGGTTAAGGTTTATTAAATTAATTACAATAATTTGAAGTGTATTATTAATCAAAATAGGATTATTATGACATATCTGTTAGTAAATTTGAAACTTCTAAAATATCTAGTAATAATGAAAATTCGAAAATAAAAAATAAAAAATTGTAGGCATATATCCTAATTATAACTAGATATTTTCCTTCTTTAAAAGAATTTAAGCGAACCCCTATACTTAATTCATGATGGAAATGGAAAATTACTGTCCAAATGGTCACGTTACAACTATTCTTGCTAAGATGGTCTTCAGAATGCGTTAGCAAATTACGAAATTATCAACTCTGTATACATAAAACCTTCAGAATATCTATACATAAACAAGCAATCCCAGCAAGCAAGATACAGTGAATCAGGTCCTCATCCATTCACAAGCAAAAACTAATTTTTATTACATCACTATGTATTATCTATTTACCGACGGAAAATAGGGTTTTTTTATAGCTACCTTTCTTCCTCCTAAGCAGCAACTTCCTCCAGAAACCGAGTCCTCCTCCCTGCTTTTTGTTCGGTACCATAACCAAAGCCCCGGCTTTGACATTTTCGGCATTGTAAGTCAGCCCACGATACACTTCTTGAGTTGTATGACAGATAGACGATCTGTCTGCTTCAATAGTGCTTGTGCTCTCTCTAACGTTTGGAGGGTGTACATCATCAACTTCTGCGCTATCTTCATATATCATTTGATCAAGAAGTGATGATCGCTTCTTCGACCTGTTATTACTAGTATCTTCAATAGACAGAACATTGTCAACTGCTTGAGTTTCCTTTGCTGAAGCCAGTCTTTTAAGCTGCTTTCCCAGCTTTAGGATGGTTTCTTGGCACTCTGCTAACTTAGCAGAAGCATTTGTTATCTCCACATCCTGCCAATTTAAACACAAGTCTCTCAACAATAATCGATTGTTTGAATACTTTCTATTGCACATAAAATTTCTCGTACTTCCACTAATGTTATTAGTTGTTGACTCCAGTTTGATGACTATAATCTGAGTGAATACACACATGTTCACAACTGGCTGTATGAATTTTCTACCATCCAAGAATTTGAAGATAAATTTTTATCATTCAACGAAACAAAATAGTTATATCAGAACACTATGCATTAGATTACACTATTTTTGCACGTCAATTTCTCTCTTCACATGTAAACAACATTCAACTTCCATATGTGATATATTATATGGTATTGAATCCATAACACTCTTGATGATGCAAAATAAAATGGTGAAAATAGAAAATAATGCTCTGTGCATGCATAAACGAAATAGAAGTACCTCAGATAAGCAAAGAAGATATGCAACAACAAACAAAGCCATGATCTCTATAAATCTAGGATGCCTTAACACGAGTCTTTTTTCACCATTACTTTAGGTTCATTGCTAGATCTAATGGAACAGGAATGACGCTGCTGCACTTCCATAATAAATTTGAAACAAGGTAATTTTTTCCATTTTTGGTTTGAGGGGTGGGGGAAAGAGTTTAAAAAGACTGTATTTTTGCTACAAAAAGCCCACCTAAACATGATATGTCAAATTGCATTAACCTTTGGCTTCAACATGTCATATTTTTTCAATATCTGTTAAGATTTGGAGTCCATCTTAATAAGATCAACTTTATTAAATGGAGCAGCCCAATATCTTTATAAATTGGTGTTTATTTCAGTATTAAATCGATGTGGAATAACACATCCCTTAACAGTCCCCCTCAAGATGGTAGCTCATTTGAGCAAACCAACCTCGAAATCCACGGGATGACTTTGATAACATATTAAGATTTGGGGTCCATCTTAATAAGGTCAACCTTATTAAATAGGGAAGTCCAAGATGTTTATAAATTGGTATTTATTTCGGTATTAAACCGATGTAGGATAACACATCCCTTAACAATACCCTTATCGGATGTCAGGTTATAAAGTTTCCTGTTCAATATACGCTCCTTCAATTCTGAGCAGGACTTACAGATTCGTGCAGATTCTCTTCTCGATTTTCGGTGTTGCGTGGATACTGCTTGCAGG